TTTTTTTTTTTTGTTTCCTGCGCCGCTTCAACGGCGTGCGGCTTGTGGGATTTTACACGGAGCAACAACAACAACGAAAAAGGAAAAAAAAAAAAGGGAACCGCCCATGCGGCTCAAGGGGCGGATGCAACTGAAGGCGTGGTGGGGTGGGGCACGCTCACGCCGATGGCTGCTGCCGCTGATACCGGTGCTTCTGGTGCTCGTCACGCTGATATTCACGTGCGTGTTGTACTTCCCGGGCATCACCCTCACCATCGGCTGCGTGTCGCAGACGTTTTGCCTCCCGGAAGGCGCGGGGACTTTGGAGGCGTCTTCCACCGACAGCAAGTACGTGACCGCCTGCGATGAAATGGAGGCGGTGCTCTTTCCACCCGCGGCTGCTGGGGCGCAGAAGCCAACCGTGACACTGCAGCGTGACACAATTGTCATTTTTATTGGCGATAGCACTGCAAGGCATGCATTCTGGCGAACACTGAATGACACTGAACGCTGTGCAGAGCCCTCTGCAGCGGATCAGATGCTCCGAGAGGCGCTCACCAGCTCTATCCATGATGGCATCTTCTTGAAGGACTACCACTGGCCAATATCGAAGGAGCGAGGAGTGGCGAGACTCCATATGGTTTATCTGGTGAAACGTCACATTCCGCGCCTACCAGATCTGTTGCGTAGCGTCACGGGCATCGTGGCACGCTTGAATAGCGGCGTTTCGGCTGTTTCACCTCACAGAAGACGCGAGTCACACGTGTTGCTCTCGGTGCACATGGGTGCATGGGACGTGGTGCGACCAAACGCGGAGCTGGATGGCCACAACTTCACCTATATCGACTGGCTGCAGCCGCCACCGCGACTCCCACTTCCACTGGATCCCGCATTGCGGCCGTTGCACGAACTGACGCAAGCACAATTACTGGAGCGGTTTCGTGGCATCTTGGCGGATAAAGTCATCGGGCTGCGTGAGGTATTGACGACAATGGCGCAGTCGAATGCGCGGCGCCAGAGCATGCTGACCTCGGCGACCACTGCAACGACTGCCCCTCTGTTTTTGCCGCAGGCTTACCGAATTCTTTTCGTCTACCCTGTCCGGGTGAACTGCTCGGCGGAGCGGTTTTCACCGCGGCGCAAAAATGAACACTACAGGCTATTGAGTGGTGCCACGAGGTGCCGTCGTATGCTACACCCTGCGTGGCGCGTCGTGCACGATGTGCTTGAAGATGAGGTGACGACTGCCATGACGTCGTCTGCACATGCAGCAAGCGGAGGCATCGGCATGATACGAGCTCTGGACTCGGACAAGTTCCTCATTATAGATCCGCATGTCGTCATAAATGAGAAGGACGCAACGCGAAGGAAATCAGGGTTTTGCACTCTTAGTGACGGTGTACACTTTGACGCCAACGCCACGGTGGGATTAACCCACTGTGGCGCTGCACTGCAGAAGAAATGGTGGGGGGCGATGTCAGTTAGTTAACAGTGGTGAGGCGCTAAAGGGAGGGGCACAAACGTGAGCTCCCGTACGACTATGCTATGAATACAGAGATACTTTTTTTTTGTTTTACATACACCGTTTTGTTTTGTTTCTTTGTCTTGTCGTTGTTGTCGTAAGATGCTCCCCATCTCCTTTATTCTTGTATGCTGTCTGCGACGTATCAGTAATTGGCGAAGGCGAAGAAGGCCCCTCCCCACACACATACCCGGAAGGCGATGGGTTGGGGGGTTCCTTTCGTTGGCTCGCATCTGCGTGTTCTTCTTTTCCTTGGCAGATTCTTTTCCTCGTCTAGGAAGCTCTACGTCAAGGTTCGTTGTAGATTCGTATTGTTAGATGCCTCCACCGCGGGCTTCACAGCGAGCGGAGGCCTCGACTGCCCGAAACGAGGCCACCCAACAGCAACAGCAGCGAGAACAACCACAACCGCCGCAGTCAACTAGAAACTTAGGACCGCATCCACGACCCTTGCATGAGAGGAATTTGGATGCTAGCCCCACGGAGATGACAAACATCGTCACGCGAAACGTCGTGGTGCTCGAGGAGTTCTACAGCCGCCCCCGACTTACTGTAACTGCCCCCCCACGTGTCATCGCCGCCCCCATCCTTGACCGGAAGGAGTGGCTCAGCCCCCTATGTGTACCATGCTTCTGCACGCGCGGCAACGGTATAGTGGGGAACGACGCCCACTCCATGGATATAGTGACTATGATGGCTCGGGGAAAGACAAGCCCGATGGCGTCGCCGGAGCCGCAGTGCTCAACGGTGAGTGGCCACTTCTTGTGGCGCTTCTTCTGCCTGCGNGACAAGCCCGATGGCGTCGCCGGAGCCGCAGTGCTCAACGGTGAGTGGCCACTTCTTGTGGCGCTTCTTCTGCCTGCGCTGCAGTATCGCGGAGCAGACACGTATCCTCTTTCGTGAGGAAGACCGTCGGGGACGCGTGCCGTATCGCTTCTGCTGCGAGGGGCTGTATGGGGTGGAGGGGCGCATGCCCCGCACGTTCAGGACAATGTGTCTCTGTGATTTGCTCTCGTGTGGCTGCCCATTCGGCTGTTGTTACCATGGATTAGGAACGGCGCTCTACGGCTGTCGGTTGCGCTATCTCATTCGCTGCAGGTACCGCCTGGAGGGGACTGTAATTGAGGATTTTTGCCTCGCGCTCTGCTGCCCGCTACTCGTAGTAGATCAGCAGGGGATGGAGATGCTTGGGCATGGGCTTGCAGAGACCCGCAGTGCCGCTGCCATTATGTTGTAGTGGACTCCTTCCCTCCAGAGATATGTCCTATAGAGGAGTGGACGAGCAATAATGCATCTGAAAATGGGGGAGACCCCGGTGTTGCGTAAGAGAAGATGAAGTTACATGCGACGAAGGAGCACAGGGAGACAAGAAAACAAACAAAAAGACAGTAAAGTGTGTGTATTGCATCTTGTAAAAGTGGTGATTTTCACCGCCTCTGCGTAGCCTTTTTTTTTTTGTTTTTTTTTTTGTTTGATTTTTTTTTGATGTTGTGAGTTGTGACTTATCTATTGGCGCCGTAGATATGCGGTTCCTTCGGTTGTCAGCTCNAACAAACAAAAAGACAGTAAAGTGTGTGTATTGCATCTTGTAAAAGTGGTGATTTTCACCGCCTCTGCGTAGCCTTTTTTTTTTGTTTGATTTTTTTTTGATGTTGTGAGTTGTGACTTATCTATTGGCGCCGTAGATATGCGGTTCCTTCGGTTGTCAGCTCATGCGCACATGTATTCAATGTGCATTTCTTTTTTATCTCTGTTCTGCTAAAGGCGCCCCCCTCATCTTTTTTTTTTTCCTCCGTTCTCTTCGCCCCGCGTTGCATCTTTCAGCGTTTCGTGCCGCGAAGGGTTGCGATCGATGCGGCAATCACTGCGGCTACCTCCGCCCTCCCTCACTCAGGATCAGAGGTCTTTTTGTTTTCTGTTGTTGTTGTTGTTCCATCAATCCTCCTGCTGCTGCTGCTGCCGTTGGGCTGGTGGGCGCCGGGTGCCGCTGCCTCGCCGCCGCCGCCGCCGCCGTGCTCCCAGTATATCTGCCGCGCCTCTCTCTCCCTCTCTGTGTGTGTGTGTGTGTG